GCAATGATGCTCTGCACCCCAGCCCATGCACCACACCACCCGGCTAAGTGTTCAGAACCAAGGCTGCAATGATGCTCTGCACCCCAGCCCATGCAACACAAACACCAATGCCTCGAGAAACACTTCGAGGTGTGGTGGGCTTGATTTTGTTAAATTTGAGTTAAATTTTGATCACTGCGTTCAGAGATGTTTTCCTGTCTGCCCAGTCTGCATTCAGTGGCACGACCCTGCATGTGGGCACAGCCCAGTTTAAGCAGCAGTGCTCTAGGCAGCATGTGGGCATCACCAGTGGTGTGGTTACTAGGGCGATGTGAGTCAAACCAGGCTCTGTCCCTGATAACCAATACGCTGTTATTTATCAAGGGGCAACCTTGTGTGTGGGCTCAGGCTGGACTTCCACCAGTGGACACAGCCGGGACCTTCCCTCCTGGTAGCACCAGGATCTGAGCAGCTTCAGGACAATGGGGAGACAGGAGGCCCAGCATTCTCTTCTTCCTATAGTGTGCCCTGGAACTCTGACCTCTATGCTCTTTAAAACTTGAAATCCTAAAACCAAAACCAAAGGCTGGGAGTTCACCTTTCCTTTCTGTTTCTTTGTTAAAAAGCACACAAATGCCAGAGATGAAACTAGTCTGTGAAATTGCCCATTAACTTTTGCAGGAAAGATCAACTTGCTGGAATTTGTTGTAATTGCCAAATGTGCCCCAGGCTCTTTATTATACAGTGCTTTAAGCTCTGTGCTGAGAATGAGGAGAAAGAAAAGCTATCAAGACATTAAGGGGAAACACGGGCAGCTGAAGAGCCAGACTTCTGTTTTTGTTTGTTTGTTTGAAGACTGAAATTGTAAACTGCATCTGCATTAACAGGAGCACACATTAACCTTCTGTGGAGAGAAGCCTGAGGAAAGAGACGATGTCCACCTTCCACCCAGATTTCATTATCTAAGATCTGTCTTTTCAACTCCAATGAGGTAGCAGGTGAATTAGGGGAAAACCAATTTCTACATCCCTTGGATGTGATGAAATTGATTATCCCCAGGCAGAGCAAAAGAAGACTGGAAATAATCGGTGCTGCTTCCCATTTGTGCATCTGTCCTGCCCTGATATCTGTTTATTTCTACCAGTTATTGACAATGTTTTTGTACCACACAAAGAAGCCCCTCCCCTCTTATTGACTTCAAAAGTAGAAATAGGAAACATCCGTTTCTAGGGAAACCTGAGGTTGGAAACTTGGTTTTCGGATCACAGCTCGCATTCCTACACAATTGGTGGTCTATTGTTGGGTGACAGCCCTTCCTCCTCATTTACCTCATCCCATTTACAAAAATTAATGCAACAATGGGAGATGATTGTTGATGCTCATTATTAAATCATTTATTCATCCCACACAATGATTCAGAATTATTCATTAAACTTGCTGGAAGGAAGCAGGGTTTTATCTCCACAGTGGCTTGGGGAAGGATGTGTTCTTTAAAAGGATATTTTATAACAACACAATTATCGTAATTAAAAGCTACCCCGATCATCTGATGAGCTTCTGACATATTTTTGAGCACTGGCATTTTAGCACAAGGAGAAAAATGAGACTGAAATAGTATTAGGAAATAATATTGCCGTGGGGGACGAAAGCTAGAGGCAACACTAAATACTACCTGCCACCACCACCCCAGCTTCATCAAGTTCTTTAAGTTAATGAATTTACCAAATATCACTCAACTTTTGGCTTTCCAAAACGAGCTCAGGTTCTATTGCTGTGGCTTCAGCCACTGTCTGCACTCCTGAGTGGCCAGTGGCACCCCTCCCCCATCTGCGATCCAAGCCTCTCAACCCAGCCCCCCATCTGCGATCCAAGCCTCCCAACCCAGCAGCCACGGCAATTTTGTCCACACCTGAAACTACAACTTCAGGTGTTGTCTGTGTTTGTTCTCTGTGTGACAGGGCCTGGCTTAGCACGCCATGGCATCCTACTGGTGAGTGCAGGAAGGGCTCCATCTCTAGTTTTCCTGGTGAAGTAGGCTTGCCTAGGGGAGGATCCTAAGGCTATAGCCAAGAAGAGGTATCTCATCCCAGAAGGTGCCTTGGGGACAAATCAGAGCTGGGGGAGCAGACTGCTGAGTGACCCTAGAAGACAGCAGAGAGACAAAGGCCATGGCGCCCTGTCATGTGGAGGGCATACGATGTGGGACAGACAGTCTGAGTTGGAGTTTTCTGCATGTGCTTGTCCCAGGGTATGTTCTGGACACCCACTGTGCTTGGTGTGCGGGCCACTGAGGGTTGGATATGAGTTAGAGACTTCATTTCCGCACTCTGTCCATACCACGGATGCCTCACTGTGAGGTGACAACCGAGCCAGACCTGAAGGCAGAGACAGATGGACCCTGTCTCTGCCTCCAATGAGCCGACAGTCCAGTGAGAGACTCAAGACATGTCAACACGTGCAGAGCCACTTGACAAGCCCTGGGGTCAAGGCAACACCGACGAGGATCTTGTGGGGAAAGGCGCTTAATACCCAGAAGCTGAACACTGAGTAGGGTTTGCCATGTGACATGGAGGCAGCCAGAGCAAAAGGCAGGGACTTGGGGAGGGCAAGCTGAGGAGCTGAACCTTGTGTGGGTAGGAGAGGGTACTGAGGGCCTGGCTATGTAGCTGCTTCAATATGAAGGAGGCAGGAAAAAAGGCCCATGACTGAACACCGTCTTGTCAGGCAAGGAGGCCCCTGTTGGACCCAGAGCGCTCAGGTGCCAGGGTCTGGTACCCACCAAGAATAGAAAAGGAAGGTGAACTCCTGCCCTGCCTTGTGCTTACAAAGCAACTCTCAAATTGTAATTTGGCTCCCATTTAGCTCTGCCTATGGAAAGGGGCCACATGGTCAGGGCTTGTCCTGCCCAAAGGCACCAATCAACCTCATGGCTGTAGATATCAACCTTTGCAAGATGGGGCCATGAGATCCCTGGGTGGATGTGCTGACAAGAAACCTGGTTCCAGAACCTCCTGAGCTGCTGTTTCCCACATGTAAGGCCCCCTGTGCTCTGGGTGTCCACTTACCACATTTTCTCCAAGGGAGCCCTGCTAAGACTGTGGGTCCTCTCAGCACCTGGACATTCTCACAGATGGCATGTGCTCTGTCCTGGGATGGGCAGCCCAGACCCACATGCCACTTGAGAAGAACAGAGAGCAGGAAGAGGACTGCGTTTGCATCATGCACCATTTGTTGTGGGAGGACTGGTTTTGGTGGCATTGAACGTTCCACTGGCTTGATTCTCTGTTGCCAAACAGTCTCCATGGTGGAATGGGTGCCATCCTGACACCAGGTTTCTTTGGCATCAAAAACACTTCCCACACTAACTCAAGTATGGCATAAAGTTTCAAAGGCCTTTGGTAGACGTTTCCCAACCTCATCTCCATGGAACATTTGGAAATGTCTCTTTTTCATTATGCAAGTTTTTTTGTAAAATGTCTCACAAGTTCAGAAGGGCCTACTGGACTTTCATAAGTAGATGAAAACATGCTGAACACTGGAGGGGATTAAGAGAGCAGTGGGCTCTTTTGTTTTTGTTTTTCTTTTTTTTTTTGGTCTGATAAATTTTGGCTCTTGGGTGCGATACCTCCATCCTTGCTTCCTCCCATAACAACTAAATGGAAGAACTCACATATTACAAGTGTTTTATATGAATAAGGTGTGGAACAGTCTAAGAGGGAGAGTTAGGGACAGGACACATGCTGCTGTCACAGCTGGAGTCTTGACAACCACTGACCACTTAGGTAAGCCACTTAGGACACTCCATTTCTTTAGAGGCCCCTGGGAGAGGATCTAAGGAGTGTGTGTGGTGGGGAGGTAGCATAAGATAGCACCAGGGAGTTATGCCATCAGCACCCAAAACTTACCTTCAAAAACAGGGCATCTTCATTTTGTGATTGCACACTTGTGACTCACACAAATGATAACTCGCAAGTCTACATGAGAGAGATCCTGTACATACATTTCCCTGTCCTAATTCAGGAAGGAACCACAATGTACTCCAGTATATGGAGGTCCCAGAACCCATTTACTGAAGCCTCACCCAAGGTTTTTTGCATGATACATGAGGGCAATTGGTAGGATGCCTGCTTCTTAAGGCTTATCTGTCCTTAAGCCAGTTCATGCTTCCCACAGAGATGAAGGAAGCCATCTCCAGCTCTTTACACCTCCCAGGGAACATGTCACCACATTTGGGGCTCTTCTGCTAGGAACCCTGACCTCCAAGACTGCCATCCTCAAATGGGGGCATTTATTTCAGGCTGGTGCTCGGCAGGTCAGGGGCCATCCTAAGTATTTCCTAGGATTACTACTCAACCATCCTGTGATATCTGCGGATACCAGGGCAGGAAGGATTTGTCCACAGCCATACTACTAGTGAGTGGTGAACTGGGATCCGAGGCAGTCTCATCCAAAGCCCTGTCCCCTCCTCACCTTGCCAGGTGACAGAGAGAAGGGGACACCTGACCCCGACATTACCTGCTCCAGTGAGCTTGTCTGCCAGCTCCTTCCGCACGGCCTTGGTGAGGTTGAAGTAGTCGTCATCCTCATCGATGCTCTGCAGGAACAGCGGGATGTGCTGGAAGACAATGGCGTGCTGGCACCTCTTCTGCTGTGCGATGCTCAGCTGCTGGTCCAGCCAGTGGTCCTGGGCCTGCTTCAGTGCAGGGCACTTAGAGGCATCGTAGAAGAACTGGGAATTGAGCACCAGAAACAGGACGCCCCCTACCCAGAAGCTGAAGTAGTCATCTCCCCATGTCTGGCAGAACTCCTCCACGGTCTCGGCTGTGGGGACGTTGCCCAAGTCGTGGTTGCCACTGACCAGCACCAGTGGAATGTCTTGGTCAACAGCCTTTAGTACTTGCTGCAGGTCCTTGGTCTGTTCTTTCCTCCAGGGAGTTCCTAGAAAACGAAGGGCGATCACCTGAGAGGGCTGTCGGCCATTTACCTATTTACTCACATGAAATGAAGACAGAATAGAGAGTAACTGCCACAGAACTGTCAAAAGGGAGGCACCCTCTGAAAGCAAGAGGATGAAGCGGGTACCCGTCTACTCCTTATGGTGGGACGATTCCTGTGCGTTTCTGCAACCTGAAAAGTTCAGTGTCTCTGTGGCCACCTGTGAGATCAAGGTATCCATCTGGCCTCACAGACTCCACCAGAATCTTTAGGGGAGAAATCCTTGGATCTAGCGATCAATGTGCCAAGTGTCCCAGCACGGAAGAGGCGTTTTGTATTCCTTCAGCAGCTCAACAAGGCATACACAGGCCCAGCATCTTAGCACTCAGCACATCCTCCCTCCCACTCTGGCCTGCAGGACTCAAAATGGAAATGATTATTTGGATAGAGAGTTGGAAAATGTGTGGGCAACCAGTACCCTCCTTCTTCAGATTGCTGGCTTCCGCACTTCCTGTAATAATGTATTAAAGCTTTAATAAATGGATTTTGAAATGACCAATTCAATTCCACATCTGTTCTTCAGAGCCTCTCTGTGTGAATTTATTCAACAAGTATTTACTAAGCATTGACTGTGTGTGAAGCACCAATTTAGTGACAGGGATAAGCATAAGTCCTTCCCTCTAAACTGGGGCATTGAATCGTGGGTTAGGTAAATCACCAGTGTGTACTCCACCTGCCTGTGATTCCATCAGGAGTTAATGAGCAAAGGAAAGCACGGTGAGGATGCAACTCTAGACAGCTGCCACGGACAGTGTAGACTGTGGTCCTTAACCCTAATGCCGTGACTTTTTAATACAGCTCCTCATGCTGCAGTGACCCCAACCATAAAGTTATTTTCATTGCTACCTCATAACTGTTATTTTGATACTGTTATGAATTGTAATGTAAATATTTGTGTTCTCCCCCAGTCTTAGATGACCCCTGTGAAAGGGTCATTAGACCCCCAAATAGGTCGCAACCCATAGGCATAAGAAATATGATGGGAAAGAGTAGGTCCACTTCCTAAATATGATGAGACCCACAGCAGAGGGAAAGATGGCTTTGAGAGTCTCTGACAAATGATGGGTGAACACTGGAGTTGATGCTGTGCCCATTACACTGTGCTGGGCATTACACACGAGTCCAAGTATCTGCACAGCCCATCAAACTGCACACTTAGGAAGGGCCCCCATGAGCATCTGAACTGAGAAAGGCTGAAATGCAAAGATGAGGGAATTCAGTCATAGTAGCAAGTGTGAAGTGGGAACAGGGAGAACTCGGGGCAGAAGTTGAGGAAACAGTGGCAGAAATGATAGCTGCACAAAGGAAGCTGCTTTCAAGGGTGCCCCCCCCCCCTGCTCTGGAGGTCCCAGGTGAGCGCCTCATCGATGCTGTGGCTCACACCGCCTACACTTACTCTTTGTTCCTGGCCTGATGAGGATTATTAGATCTAAGGGGCTCACTTAAGTGGCCACAACGATGGCAGATCGATCTGTTTCTCTTTGAGTCTCTGCTTTCAAACCATTCACTGTTAGCTGCATTGTTAGCGTGTAAGGCCAGAATTTCATTCTCACTGAAATGCTTTCTTCATGTATGACCCTAATGAAATAAATAAAAGAAAAAAGTGCAACTCTCCCGATAAGATGCCATCTTAGCCACTGTTCTGTTGCTGTGAAGAGACGTCATGACCATAACAACTCTTATAAAAGAAAACATTTAATTGGGGGCTGGCTTACAATCCAGAGGTTTAGTCCATTATCATGACAAGGAGCATGGTGGCCCACAGGCAGATGTGGTGCTGGAGACTAGCTGAGAGTTCTACATCTGGATCAGCAGGCAGCTGACAGAGAGAGGCACCAGGCCTGGCTTAAGCATTTAAAGCCCCAAAGTCTACCCCAGTGACACACTTCCTCCAGCAAGGCCACACCTCCTAATAGCGCCACTCCCCAGTGACCAAGCATTCAGACCTGTGAGCCTGTGGGGGCCATTCCTATTCAAACCGCCACAGGTGCTTAACCCGCACTGGGTAAAAACAAGGCACAGAGCAGAGTCACGCACGAATGTGTTAAAGGCTTCCAGATACGCTCAGGTGTTCTGTGTCTAGCGATTCAAGGAGTCTACTTCTGATGAACACGAGAAACAGATTGGAGGGGTTGGAAACTGCAGGTATCATTTCTCCTTTCCTCTTCTCTTCTTTCAGGAAAGGGGGTGGCAAAGGAGAGCAAGAGTGGGATGTGGGATTGAAGGGGAGGAAGGGGAGAGTAGGGGGCAGGGAACATGGAGTGGGGGAGCAAGAGAGGAGAGAGCTGGGAAGAGGGAGGAGTGGAAGAGGGGTGCAGAATGGAGGGAGGGAGGGAGAGGGAGAAGGGAGAGGAGGAG